CGTTCAGCTGGGGAGTGGACAGCCCCGTAAAAACAAATGGGACTAATGAGGTACAGCATTCCAGGGACAAGGGCCAGAAGAGAACAGGAAAGCTGGTGATAGGGACCCCAAGGTTGAGTAAGGATAGTGTTGATGTGTTGTGAGGTTGTTAACTATTGTCATAGGGCAACATGTGTACTGTTAAATGAGAAACTTTTGTTCTGTAAGCCTTCATCTAAAGTGAGAATAGCAGCACAATTGGAAGAGCGTAGTCGATGCATGTAGAAATTTTTGAAATGGTATATCTTTGGCTATGTGTATTTTCACCAAAAAAAAAAGGTCGAGAAGGGAGAGGGTTGACATGTTGTGGGGTTGTTAACCAATGTCATAAAACAATATGTGTACTACTGTTCCATGAGAAACTGTTTGTTCTGTAAGCCTTCACCTGAAGTACAATAAAAAAAAAAAGAAAAAAAGAATTGAGGGGATCAGCATTGACAACCTGACAATTCAGGAAGTTGAACATTTAAAAAAGGAATTCGGTTTTATGAGTTTTTATGATCTGTTGATTTAGGCCTTTCTCCCTTGTTTTTGCCCTTTAACAGTTTGACATGCTCAGCCTGAGTAATCACTTCTTCCAGTCATGCGCAAGGACGGGTAGAATGGCATGTGCAGATACTTAAAATACCTACAGTTCTCAGGGGCCCAAATCCCCATCTAGTTTTCCCATCTTTTGAAAAAACAAAACCAAAATTAATTGGTATTCACAGATGCCATTAGTATAATTTTTTTAGAGCCAGTTTTATTTATTTTAGGCAGAAATGTATTTTCTATAGCAGTAGGTTTTAAGCTGGCAGCATTACTTCGATGATGGGAGGAGACAGGTACATTCATTTTAAGCAAGAGAAGAGGAGAACATGAGTTTCTCATTAATACAGAACTCATGTTAGAGGCGTGAGGACTGTGCCCTGGTGGCCCTTGCCACTCTGCTGACTTTTTGCATTTCACAGTATTAATTCACTCCTTTGTAAGTTCTCTCTCGTATTTTTCTCTACGTTCGTGGTCCTTTTACCTTTCTGTGAAAGTATGTTTAGCCAGTGGTCTTATATTTCTTACAGGGTTTTTAGTTCTGATAAATACAGATTTTAGTTTGAAACACAAGTTATAAAGTAATTTTTTTTTTCCAGCTTCAAAGTGAATTATATAGGTAAAGTCTTTGGGCATATCCCTAGATTTCTTTGCAAATGAAGATTTTCTTTACAGTTATCTAAATCCTTAGTTAATTCGGGATTTAAATTGTAAATAGTTGCTTTCATTTACGCTTCATTCTCTGTTCAGTCCAAACCCTTTCACCTTTGAGGCAATTCTTTCCATTGTTTGATTTTTTTCCAATTATTCATGTCACATGTGACCTCGGAAATAGAAAAATTTTATTTGAGATGAAGTGTTGAGAAAGAAGACTCCTGAACCCCTTTTTGTTTCACTAATCATAATAATAATTCTGTTTAAATGATGAAAAGAAGAATTAACTCAGATGTCTGTAAACCCATTGTTGCAGCATCTATAAACTTAGAAGTTTGCTAACTGATAACGTTTGCTCTCAGTATTCAAGGATTTGTACCCTGTTCTCATGAGAAGGGGGCAGTTAACAAGAGAGCAAGTTAATTTAGCCACAAGAGATTGTTCTAGAGTCAGTCGAGGCCATTTATCAGTGAAACTGCAGTCTAATAGCTGTTGTCAGTGTTGAGAATGATGGCACCGGCTGGGAGGACAACACGTGACCGTAAAATAATCCGTTCTGTTTCCATGCTTTGTTTACTAGACAGGGAAAGTGTCTGGCTTATTTTCAACAGCATTTGAAGCAAAAGCATTTTCTGATTAGCCCTGTCTTTAATGTGTCTGGATGAAAAATATAACTCCACTTCATTCTCCTTCGTGTGGTAACGTGCATGTTATAACAGAGACTTGACTTGGACTACTCCAGTTATGTGATCCCCATGTGCCAACTATCTGTGGATTACATAGGAGTAACTTTTTAATTCAATTTATTTATATTCTCATTCAGAAAAGTTACTAAGCCATTCTACCAAGATAATTATACAGGATATAAGGTAGATATACATGTGAAGAGAATTATATGGTGTGTAAATTGTATCTCAGTAAAGCTGTTAATTAAAAGAAGCAAACGTGGAAATCCAGCCAAAGGGGAGGAGTAGTGTTTGTGTATATTTGTTTCTCAAAAGGTTATTGTCATTCATTGAAGAATCAAGGAACAGAAAGTACATCTTAATGTGTTTTCTCTGTATTTGGTCTTAGTGGCTTTTGAGTTTTATTATTTTATATGCAGCCTCTTATTTATTATTGAGCCAATTCCAGATCTAAAGGTAGTGGCAAGGTGTATTCAGGAGGTCTTATAGTTGCTTCTGTGGGAGAATACAGTAAAGAGTAGGCGATCGGAAATAAGAAGTAATGAATAGAAATGGCAAGAAAAGAGACAGTGAGAGGAGGAGGAGAAATAAAAAATGATTGGTCTTGTTTTGTATTTTTCTCTAATTAGAGTTAGTTATTTTACTTTGTGTTCCCCGCCAGGGAGTCTGCAGCCTTTGAAACTATATGTGAGCCTGAGTTTGTACAGGAATTGTATGTTGTTGTCTCCTAGAGTGGCAGCTCTCAGACCTCTTCACCAGGGCTGGTTTTCAGCATTACCAGTCTCTCTGAATTAAAGAGTGTCTCATTTATTATCTTTAGTCAGAATTTGTTCTCATTCTCAAAGTTTCAGAACACTTTCTTAATAATGTGTATAGTTGTCATCTGAAGCCATCCAATTAAGGTGAAATATTGTAGTAATTCATTGTATAAGATCTTTTGAACAGTTCTTTGAGCATTACTTCCCATGTTACATGACTTGACAATTACTCTTTGTTCTGTTTTAATATTAAATTGTATTTTTATTTCTTACCTGCTAGGTACGGCATTTCAAATATAGATACAACAGTTGAAGGAACTTCAGATGACATGACTGTTGTAGATGCAGCTTCGTTAAGACGACAGGTATTCAATGTACCAAATGAGATCTAATCCTAAATTATATTTGTATCATATTTAGAATGATAGCTCCCAACATTTTATCATTTTCTCACCTGTGGAAACCATGACTTGAATTATTTTATCTATAAAACTATTAAGAAGTAATTCCCCTCCAGCTTTTTAATACAATGATAGTAGTTCCTTTCATAACACTTTACAGAGCTCATAGTGTTTTACATAGATATTGCAGGTTGAATTCCCTGGAAGGAGATTCTGAGGTGAAGATTTGCATGTAGAAAGTTTATTGGAGAGTGCTCTCAAGATGAACGCCTATGGGGGGAAGGAAAGGAAGCAGGATTGGGAAGAGGGAGAAGTTGGGCTACAGTGTAGTCACAACAAAGTCTGTAGCCAACCCTACAAGGAGCTTTGAAGCTGGGATCACCCTTCCGAGTTGCCCCCAGTTGGGACGAGGGGCCTGGGCCTTCAGACCCTCTCACTGACCAGTCACTGGATGGATGCTGCCCCAGTAAGGGTGCATGAGCTTGGACAAGGCAGTTGTTCAGCCAAGGGCAGTTCCCAGTAAGGACCAACAACCAAGGATAGTGCTGTCCACCAGTGATGCTCCTAGCAGCTCGGGAGTTAGCCTTCCAGTCCTGAAGGGTCTGGGTGGCATATCACAGAGCTCATGACACTAGGTTGTTGTAGGGGGCCCTCACAGTAACTAAGGAGCCCTGGTAGTGCAGTGGCTAAAGAGATAGCCTGCTAACCAAAAGGTTGGTGGTTCAAACCCACCAGCTGCTCCATGGGAGAAAGATGCGGCAGTCTGCTTCTGTAAAGATTTCAGCCTTGGAAACTCTATGAGGCAGTTCTGCTCTGTCCTGTGGGGTCACTATGAGTTGAAATTGCCTCAACAGCAATGGGTTGGGTTTCGTTTGGCTTAATAACTCAGTGGATGAAAGAAGGCAGCTATACCACCTTAAAGAGGAGCAGCTGAGGCCAAGTGACAAGAAGCCGATAGAAGGGCATAGAAGGGGACAGGAGTATTGTATTCTTTCTGCTATGGTTTAAAAAAAAAAAAAACCCACTGCCTTTTGAGTTGATTCCCTCCCTGCAGTATAGAGTAGAACTGCCCCATAGGGTTTCCAAGGCTGTAAATGTTTATGGAAGCAGACTGCCACAACTTCCTCCCACGGAGGATCTGGTGGGTTCGAACAGCTGACCTTTCAGTTAGCAGCCAAGCACTTTAACCACTGTGCTACCAGGTCTCCTTCTGCTATGGTAAGCTTGCCTAAATATAGTCATGCACAGCATAACAGCAGTTCAGGCAACGTCCAGCTGCATATATGTCCCTGTCCTTGCTTGCTTCCTCTCTCTCCACTCCTGCTGCTGCCCTCTCAGCTGCCAGTTCTGGCCTCCACCAAATGCTCCAGCAGCAGCAGTGGAAACAAGGACAGTGACAAACAGGCTCCTGTAAGGTTTTAATATAATAGGCTTTACGAGGGTTGGTTTGTAACTGTGGGTTTTACATAAGTTGGATGTTCATAATCTGGGGACTGCCTGTATAGTACGGTGTTTACACAGTATCCAAATGATATAACACCCTATTTCCCAGAACGTATTGTGGACATTAAGTGACACATGACTGTATATAATTAGTCTTTTCTACCAGAATAGCAATATGCAACGGTTTCCTCACCTCACTATCTAATCAAGTAAGGAAGGAATTGTACCCTTTCTAACTCAGAAATTTGGAGAAGGGAAATGGGAAAGGATATTTAAGTGAATTTAAGCAATCCTGGGTAACATTTTGTTTGTTCATTTTTCTCTAAATGAAACTTGCATGTTTATAATAATACTTTTTGACAAATTGGTATACTTTGTAGGAATCTGATTGCTCCGTGCATTAAAACTTAATTTTGTTTGGTTTTTTCACTTAGATAATCAAACTAAATAGACGTCTACAGCTTCTAGAAGAGGAGAACAAAGAACGTGCTAAACGAGAAATGGTCATGTATTCAATTACTGTAGCATTCTGGCTGCTTAATAGCTGGCTCTGGTTTCGCCGCTAGAGGTAACCTCAGCTCTCAAAAATATTTGTCTCAACAGCTAGAAATATAAAGAATTTGTAAACTTCTTTGTTTCTGTCTCTGCACTGTATGCCGTTTTATAGTCCATGACCTGAGAAATGTATTTCTTCCAGAAAGGAGGGGGACAACCTCGGTTTGCGGAAGTAAGGGTATATTCTGTCACTCTGCTGTATTCACTTTTAACCAGTTCTGCTGTAACACCTACTTGAAATCTCCCTTTGCATGTTTTGTAAATAGACTCCAGTTTGTTTTAGAAAGGAATTGATTCTTTGCCTCTTCAGTCTGCGTGACTAATTCTCTGAATGGGAGAGAGAGTGCATAGAGAATGGATTTAGGAAAGGGTCTGTAAAAGAAAAACAGTATTTTGTCCTGTGTCTCAAACACAGAGTAAACAGTTTTTGTTACTAGACATTTTTTGCATCTGCAGGTCAACAGTAACTCTTTTGAAGTCATGATCTGGTGCCAGATATAAGAAAATCAAGCCACCTAATATCTCATGATCATCTTTATTAAGCAGCTGTACAGATTAAATTAAAATAATTCCTAACATTTCAGCAGTTTATCTAATATGTGTGCCATGCGTGCATTATTTTCATTTTACTTTTGCAGCTGATTTTCTATAAAATACGTTTTTACTAAGCCCATGTGTGAATGATTTGAAAATTAATAGAATAAGGTCCAAAAGTAGTGTATTTAATAAACTGTCAACCAAAGCAATGTTTGTGTACCGACAGATTTTGTTTTATCCTATTGTGCTCTGAGCAATACTCTGTATTGTATTAGACCTGAATGTGAGTCTTCAGGTATGAACCTGAGTTTTATATGAACCTGAATCGCCTGTCTCAGAAGCAAGTAGTGCAGATAATGACTTGGCAGGTGGCAGGGACCTGTTGTGCTTCCTTTCGAATCTTCATCCTGGTAGTGGTGGGCATTGGTCACATTCTAGGTGGTTTTCTAATTTGTAGTATCCATAAAGTGGTTCAGATGAAAATACTTTGAGTTGTGTATACGTTTTCCATTGTAGTATTTAGTTGCTAATATGCTAAATGCATATGCAAATGCATCATGCATGCGAGAAAGCTGAACGATGAATAAGGAAGACCTAAGAAGAATTGATGCCTTTGAATTATGGTGTTGGTGAAGGATATTGAATATACCGTCAACTGCCAGAAGAACAAACAAATCTGTCTTAGAAGCATGGATGGCGAGACTTCATCTCACGTACTTTGGATATGTTATCAGGAGGGATCAGTCCCTAGAGAAGGACATCATGCTTGGTAAAGTAGAGGGTCAGAGAAAAAGGAAGACCCTCAACAAGATGGATTGACACAGTGGCTGCAACAGTGGGCTCGAACATAGCAACAGTTGTGAGGATGGCTCAGGACTGGGTAGCATTTCATTCTGTTGTACAGAGGGTGGCTATGAGTCGGAACTGACTCGATGCCACCTAACAACAACAACAACAAATACTAAATTTTATGAGAAGTAAGCCCACCAGGTCCTGGGAGCCTGTTACTTCTCCAGACGATTTTAATTAGGTGCAGTATCCTCCATACATCTTCAGTATCTTTCTGAAAAGGCAGGGAGTTTTGGGAAAGACAGTTGAGGGAAATTCTTTAGATACAGATTTAATGTTTCTGTTCTTGCTTCTCCCCAGCGCCCCGCTCCCCCCCCCCAAAACAAAACAAAACACTAAAAGGAAGATTCTTCTACATACATCTTTGGTTTATCATGAGTTCGATGACAGATTTTTCCCCATGAAAGTCTTCTGTCTTGTGATACTATTTAATGATGCAATTGTATTAACTCTAAATATATATGTGTGTATATATACCACAAGATAACTTCTGTGAGTGAACCTCCCAGTTGAAACCAGAAATATGGTAAAAGTGATGGATAAAATACAAAAAGCACCTTTTTTTCTAAGCACAAATGAAGGATTCCACAAAGGCCAAAAATAAAGTGAAAGCAGGAATCCTGGGAAATATGCAAGCACAAAAGCCATCCTTCTCTCTGATCATTTTTTACCAGACTGAAGACCTGGGGTTTTCTCCCTTAATGACTGTGCAGGGGCAAGAGATACAACTCCCTGCCTTGGGTAGACACCAGCTTCGGTAGGAGACCGTTTCATAAAGCTGGGACTCCAGAAGTCTACAACCTCTGTGAAAGGGTGGAACGCAAAGGCACCTTACCATGCAAGAAGCTTGCCTTTTTTAGCCTTGTCCTGTGACTAGAAAGTAGAAAACCAAACCAGTTGCCCTCTAGTTGATTCTGACTCATAGCAACCATATGTGTTTCAGAGCAGAACTACTCCACGGGGTTTTCATGGCTGTGACCTTTCAGAAGCAGATTACCAGGCCTTTCTTCTGAGGCTCCTCTGAACAGATTTGAAACTTCAATCTTTTGGTTAGTAGCCCAGCACTTAGAAAATAGAAGAGTTTGGGTTTAACCCAGATCTCTAACCCCAAAGCCAACTCTCTCTATTATTCCGTTCTACCTCCCTGCAAGGTGTTAATCACCATAAGAAGGTAGCTCTGGCATGGAGAGAGAAGAATTCACTCCTGGCTAGGGTAGTTAGGAAATACTTCTTGAGAGATATTTGGCTGAAATTTGAAATATATATAGAATTTCAACAAGCAGAGAATGAAAAAGATTCCAAGTGCAGGGAACAGCATGAGAAAAGGATACAGTAGGGGCTGTTAATAAAGTGATCAATCTAATGTAGTAATATCCATACAACTAAGCGTAGCAAATGTATTATTGTTACGCCAGTTTCAGAACTCTAAAGTTTATTTTCCACCTCTAGGAGTACTTGCTGAAGGTTTTTCAGGTTATTACACTTGGAGGATAATTTTATGAAAGTAGTATATTTATCAAGAGAGCTTTTCTTCCTTTTCTGCACAGTTGTCTGTTTTCCAGCTTCTTAACTATATTTGACAGTGAAATTGAACTGTTTTTCCAGGTCTCACATTTGGAAAGTTTTAATTTATCTTAAGTGTCCTGGTACCTAAACTTGTAAATGCACTTCTGTGTATGTGTATTCTCTTAAATTCTCCTACGTGATGGGCATACAAACAAAAATGCGTATGTTGTATTGTGACAGATATGATAATAGTGGCTTGGGGAGGAAGTGCTTGACTTAGTCTATTGGAATTAGGCTCTCTGGAAAGGCTTCCTCAAGCAGGACATATTTAAGCCAGGCCTTAAGGAGAAATACACATTCATGGGAGCGAAGGGAGTATGTCTTTATATAGTAAATGGGTTCGAAAAAAAGTTCTTGACGTTACTGGTTTATTTGGGAAGCTCTAGTGTTGGTATCGTACATTCTTTCTAGAACCTTGAGTGCAGCAAACAGAAAATGCAAGAGTGAAATAAAATGCAAGAGTGATCACATTCAGAAAATTGTAGTTTTCTAGTTTTGTCTGTTTTATAACATTTTAATATGGTAAAGACACTTCTGTTACACTGCCTTTTAAAGATTGTCATATATATAGAAGCTAGCATTTGAAAGGTTGTGTATTCTTTTGAGGTATTTTTTAAAATTATTATAAAAATGCAAACATAGGCAAACAGAAGAGTATAGCATATCACAATATACACATCACTTAAATACAACAATTAACAGGTTTTTGCTGAAATATTTAAAAACATGACCTTTTCCCCGAAGTACATAAATATGCATTTCTAAAAAAGGCATTTTCCTCTATTACTATAAAACCATTATCAGACCTAACAAAATTCACAATAATTCCTTAGTATCTAACCGAGTTCACATACAAGTTTCCTCGGTTATCCCCAGCAAGATCCAGATAATAGATTTGGTTGAATCATGTCTCTTTGGTCTTTTAATCTAGGACAGTTCCCTCAACTCATCCTACCTTTTATTTTTTGTATAACATTTTCTTGTTGAAAACAAGGGGACTATTATTATCTCTTTACTGTCCCACCTTTTGGATTTGTTTGAGTGTTTCCTCTTCCCTATATTTCCTGTAAGCTGAGAATTGGGTCTAAAGACTTATATTCAGAATATCTTGAAGTAAATGTATTAAAAAAAAAAAAAACTGTTGCCATTGATTCAATTCTGACTCATAGCGACCCTATAGGACAGAGTAGAACTGTCCTATAGGGGAAGTAAATGTATAGGACCCTTTTAATGTTAACACCTATTCATTCTTGTTTGTTCTCTGTGTCCCTCCAAACACATAGAATATAGTTACAAAATTTGAATAATAACACAGTACAGAAGAATACAAAATACATTGAAAGCTTTTTCTCCACTTCTCCCCAAAGTCAACCACTGATAACTTTTCCTTTCCGTATAAAACTGTTATACATATACCAGCATTCTTTATATATGAAAGATTCATTTAAAAAGCCACCTCAAAGGTGACTTTAAAAGCAATTTTATGTGCTAAAATGATTCATACAGCTTTCTAGATAATGTTCCATTATTGTATTTCTAGAAGAGTGTGTTTTAAATGTAATTCTCAAATGATTCAAATGACTCATAATTCCATTTTACTGCTATTATGACTACACAATTCGACTTCTCCGCTGAGAGACTCCACACAGACAGCCAAGGAAACCGATGACTATCTGACTGAACGCAAACAGAAGCTCAAGAATCCCAACAAGTAGTAGACTTGTAAACACTGAGAGGTGGATAGTCTTGTATGTGTGTTCTTTAGAGTTGTTGTACAGGCCATATTTATTCCAGCCACTGGCCACAGTGTCATGAGCGTTGGAGTTACTGAGACCAGTAGAAGGTACACAAGAGTCACTAAAAAACCACTGCAGTTTGAATAATTCTGGATGAATGTCACTGAAAAAAGAAATGGAGAAAAACTAAGATGTTCAGAAATATCACTGACCATCAGAAGGAATGCAATTTTGGGCCCCAAAAATAACAAGTATGGTAAAACGGTGTGCTTTTGAAATATGCCCAGAAATTAGCTAATTTCAGCGTTTCCAAACGTGTCCATATAACCCGTTATAAAACTTATTCGTTACACGGTGAAGCCTGTGAGAGCCGGAACTCGATGGGCCTGCCTTGTTTTTCCAGGTGTTGCCAATTTTCTGCCTTTCGGAGGGTACAGTCTTGCCACTTCTATATCGCTTGTTTTAGTGGAAAATATTTGCATTTTCCTTCTCTGACAGGTTACTGCTTTACACAGGTGCTGGCTTTTGCAGGTTTCACTGTATATACCATCATTCAATAAGCATTTTGATAGTACTAATTCTTATGCTGTACCATATGAAGTTGCTGTTTTTGTATTTAAAATGATTGAATATCAGTTTCATGTGGTTCAAAAAAAAACCTTGCTTTCAAGTTGATTCAGACTCATATCAACCCTATAGGACAGAGTAGAACTGCCCCATAGGATTTCCAGGGAGTGGCTGGTGGATTCAAACTACTAACCTTTTGGTTAGCAGCTGAGCTCTGAACCCACTATGCCACCAGGGCTCCACAGTGAGCTTAGGATCCCTCTGTTGTTAACTGTTACTATCCAGGTCTGTCTCCTCAACTATACTAGGAATTTCTTGACTGCTGCCGTCTCCAGAACTGAGCCTATTGCCTGGTACGTAGTGGGCCCTTGTTCAATGAGAACTGAAAGTGTATAGCATCAGTGGTGGAAATCTCCAATCTTATACTCAGATCTGTCACTAAGTAGGAATTTCCTTTGGTTTTGATTATGAACAACTGTGCTATACACATTTTGAAAATTTTTTTTTTTTTTAAATATAACGGGAAAATGAACAAAACTTTTTTTTCCTCATGTAACTATATAAGTAAATTCTGGTCATTTTCCAAACTGAGCAACGTATATAGCTAATGAAATAGATTGTTCTTTTCTTCCAGTTTCACAAATTGTGCCCACAGTCAGGCACAGACTCATCTTACCCCTTGCCATCGAGTCAGTTCCTACTCATGGTGACCCTAGAGGACAGAGTAGAACCAACCCATAGGGTTTTCAAAGCTGTAATCTTTATGGAAGCAGACTGCCACATCTTCCTTCCGCAGAGCAGCTGGTGGGTTCAAACTGCCAACCTTTCAGCTGAGCGCTTATCCACTGTGACAACAGGACTCCTTTTAGACTCATCTTACAAGATTGAAATAAACCATTTACATATGTAAACTCTATTGAAATTATTCAGCTTGAAAGTGAACAAGAAGATGGGGTATGCATGACACAGCTCTTCAGTATTGTTAATACATTAATGTGTGATCCTAAGTGCCTTGCATACAGAATATTTATAGTATGTCTGCACTGAATTCTTTGGCTGGTTTGTTTCTTTTAGGGCATACAGACAAGGCCCTAGATTTTATTTATTGAGTGTGCTTTTATTGATTTTTTTAATTGTACTTTAGATGAAGGTTTACAGAACAAACTAGCTTCTCATTAAACAATACATAGATTGTTTTATGACATTGGTTAACAACCCCATGACATGTCAGTACTTTCCCTCCTTGACCTGGGTTCCCTGTTACCAGCTTTCCTGTCCCCTTCTGCCTTCTAGTCCTTGCCCCTGGGCTGGTGTGCCCCTTTAGTCTCGTTTTGTCTTATGAGTCTGTCTAGTATTTGGCTAACAGGTGAACCTCTGGAGTGACTTCATTACTGTGCTAAAAGGGTGTCTGGGGGGCCATACTCTCAGGGTTGCTCCGGTGTCTTTCAGGCCAGTAAGTCTGGTCTTTTTTTGTGAGTTAGAATTTTCTACATTTTTCTCCAGCTCTGTCTGGGGCCCTCTGTTGTGATCCCTGTCAGAGCTAGTTGGTGGTGGTAGCTGGGCACCATCTGGTTATACTGGACTCAGTCTGGTGGAGGCTGTGGTAGTTGTGGTCCATTAGTCCTTTGGACTAATCTTTCTCTTATGTCTTTGGTTTTCTTCATTCTTCCTTGCTCCTGATAAGGTGAGTCCAGTGGAGTATCTTAGATGGCTGCTCACAAGCTTTTAAGACCCCAAACAGTACTCACCAAAGTAGAATGTAGAATGTTTTCTTAATGAACTATGTTATGCCAGTTGAGCTAGATGTTTACTGAGCTCATGGTCCCCATAGCCCTCAGACCAGTAATTCAGTCCCTAAGGGAGTTTGGATTTGTCCATGGAGCTTCCATGATCTTATCCTGAACAAGTTGTTCTGGCTTCCCAATATTGTGTACTGTCTTACCCTTCACCAAAGTTACCACTATCTATTGTCTTTTTAGTGTTTTTCCACCCCCACCCTTCCCCCTCCCTTGTAACCATCAAAAATGGTTTCTTTCTGTATGTAAACCTTATCATGAATTTTTATAGTAGTAGTCTCATACAATGTTTGTCTTTTGTGATTGACTTATTTCACTCAGCATAATGCCCTCCAGATTCATCCATGTTGTGAGATGCTTCACAGATTCATCATTGTTCTTTATCGTTGCATAATACTCCATTGTGTATATGTACTAGTTTGTTTATCCATTCATCTGTTGATGGGCATCTAGGTTGTTTCCATCTTTTTGCTATTGTGAACAGTGCTGCAGTGAACATGGGTGTGCCTATGTCTATTCGTGTGATAGCTGGCTCTTATTTCTGTAGGATATATTCCTAGGAGTGGGACTACTGGATCATATGGTATTTCTATTTCTAGCTTTCTAAGGATGCGCCGTATCATTTTCCAAAATGGTTGTACCATTTTGCATTCCCACCAACAGTGCGTAAGAGTTCAATCTCCCTGCAGCCTCTCCAACATTTGTTATTTTCTGTTTTGATTCTTGGCAGTAATGCCGGGGTGAGATGGTATCTCATTGTGGTTTTGATTTGCATTTCTCGAATGGCTAGTGATCACAGGCATTTCCTCATGTGTCTTTTAGCTGCTTGAATGTCTTCTTTGGTGAAGTGTCTGTTCATTTCCTTTTCCCATTTTTTAATTGGATTATTTGTCTTTTTATTGTAGAGGTGTTGGACTTTCCTGTAGATTTTAGAGATTAGACCTTTGTCAGGTTTGTCATAGCCAAAATTTTTTTCCCAGTCTGTACATTCTCTTTTTACTCTTTCAGTGAAGTCTTTTGAAGAGCATAAGTGTTTAATTTTTAGAAAATCCCAGTTATCTAGCCTATCTTCTGGAGTTTGTATGTTGTTGGTTATGATTTGTATCCTGTTAATGCCACGTATTTGGGTCTCTAGCATTGATCCTATTTTTTCTCCTATGATCTTTATAGTTTTGGGTTTTATATTTAGGTCTTTGATCCATTTTGAATTAGTTTTTGTGTGTGGTGTGAGGTATGGGTCCTGTTTCATTTTTCTGCAGATGGACATCCAATTTTGCCAGCACCATTTGTTAGGAAGACTGTCGTATCCCCATTGATGGACTTCGGGCTGTTGTCAAAGATCAGGTGACCATATGTGGATGGATTTACATCTGGGTTCTCGATTCTGTTCCATTGGTCAGTGTATCTGTCGTTGTACCAGTACCAGACTGTTTTGACTACCACAGCTGTATAGTAGGTTCCAAGAGTCCTCCTACTTTATTTTTCTTCTTCACTAATGCTTTACTTATCCAGGGCCTCTTCCCATTTTGTATAAAGTTAGTGATTGTTTTTTCCATCTCTTTAAAGAATGTTGTTGGTATGTGGATCAGTGCATTGTATTTGTATTTGTAAGTTGCTTTGGGTAGAATTGTCATTTCACAATGTTGAGTCTACCCATCTGTGAGCATGGTGTGTTTTTCCATTTATGTAGATCTCTTTTGGTTTCTTACACCAGTGTTTTGTAGTTTTCTTTGTATAGGTCTTTTACATCCCTGTTTAGATTTATTCCTGAGTATTGTAATTTTTTAGGGGCTATTAAAAATGGTGTTGTTTTCCTGATTTCCTTTTCATCGTTCTCTTTGTTGGTGTATAGGAATCCAGTTGATTTTTGTATATTTATCTTGTATCCTGCTACTCTGCTGAATCTATTAGTTCCAGTAGTTTTCTCATGTACTCTTTTGGGTTTTGTATGTATGGTATCATGTCTTCTGCAAATAGAGACAGTTTTACTTCTTCATTACCAATTTGGATGCCCTTTATTTCTTTTTCTTGCCTTATTTCTCTAGCTAGGACTCTTGTCTGAGACTATATGTTTTTCTTCTTTATTTTGATGAGAAGGTTTGTTATTTTTCTTTGTGGTTACCTTGAAATTTACCCTTATCTTCCTAAGTTTGAACCAGCATGTTATTGCTTGGTATTGCCTTGCCTTCCTCTCCATTAGAAAGTTCTATACCTACACTGTTTATTCCCTCTTTTATTGTTCTGACACTGTTGTCATTTGAAGATTAACCTCTGTGGTTACCTTTTGTAAATCTTTTGGTTTTGAATAGTCCTTAAGTGTTCATTTTCTAGGTTCGTATCTGGCTGGTGCTATCTTGAGTCCTAGATTCAGGCTGTCGCCTGATGTTGTTTGTTCTCGAACCGAAGGACTCCCTTTAATAATTCTTCTAAATTTAGTTTGTTTTTTACATATTCCCTTAATTTCTGTTTTTCTGGAAATGTCCTAATTTCACCATCATATTTGAACAAGAGTTTTGCAGGATATATTATTTTTGGCTGGCAATTTTTTTCTTTCAAGGTTTTATATATGTCATCCCATTGCCTTCTTGCCTGAGTGACTTCTGCCTCATATTCAGAGCTTAGTCTTATTGTTTCCCCTCTGTATGCGACTTTTTGTTTTTCTCAAGCTGCTCTCAGGATTCTTTCTTTGTCTTTATGATATGCCTTGGTGTTTTCTTTTGGCGTCTCTCTTCTGTAGGGTTCGTTGAGCTTCTTGGATGATCAGCTTTTCATCTTTCATGATATTAGGGAAGTTTTCTGTCCACAATTCTTCCGTGATCCTCTGTGTTTTCTCCCCCTGTTCTAGAACTCTGATCACTTGCAAATTTTTGCTTTTGATTGTATCCCACATAATTCTCAGGGTTTCTTCATTTTTCTTCGTTCTTTTTTCTGATTTTTCCTCAAACAAAATTGTATCCAAATGTTTGTCTTCAGTGTCCCTGATCCTATCTTCTGATGTTTCAAACCTGTTCCTCAACCCTCCTATGACACTGTCCATTTCTGAAATCTTGTTTATCTTTTGGATTTCTAATTGTTGTTTTTGTATGATTTCTAGTTGTGAATTTATTTTGGCATTTTGTTCCTGTATTATTTTCCTGAAATCTTCCTTTTTTTTGTCTGTGTTTTCCATGAATTTGTCTGCCTTTTCCATGAATTTGTCTATTTTTTCCTTGCTTTTGTCTGGTTTTTTCTTCAACTCTTAGGTAGTTCTGAATATTAGAGATTTGCATTCCGTATCAGGTAGTCCTCGTGCCTTCTCTTCTACTGGAAAGTCATCTGGTGTTTTATTTTGGATTCCTACTGGAACCATCCTGTCCTGTTTTTTTGTATGCTTTGATATTGTCTGCTGTCTTTGGGACATTCAGTAGTTATTTTATGTGTTTATTGATTGTAGATTTGTTTGTTTCTTCCTTCTTTTTTGTTTTATTTGGTTATGTCTGAGCAGGCAGGCTGTGCGTTCTTTGTTGTTTGCTCATCTGTGGACGCAATATTTTTCACCTCCTTGTCCAATCAATGGTCAGGGCTAGTTGCTCAGTTGTGGTGTCGCAGACAGGTCCTGCTGAAGGGACAGGCTGGAATGGGTTGTTTGTGGCATGTACTGGGGCCGACAAGGTAAGCCGGTGGTCAGTGCAGGGCAGGTTCCAGTAGGTTGTGCCTGTGCTCCTGAGGAGTGCAATGTTCAGCACGTGGTGCAGATAGGCAGGAGGGAGGGGGAGGGGGAAGTTGTGATATGTAGAGCTAGGTTGAGTATGGAAAAAAGAGAGAGAGGATAGAAACAGGAGCAAAAAAAATGTGCTGAGGGAGCTTGCTGTTGGAGTGGAGAGACGAGAAACCGAGAAATGAAGATAAAGTAAAATAAAAATAGATAAATAAAAATTTAAAAAAAAAACAGAAAATGCTCCCAGGGATCTCACTGGCGCTGCTACGCAGCCCAGGGAAGTGGCTCCCAAGCCACGCAGTACAGCCTGGCTAGAAGGGGTGGAGATAATACACAGTGCCACATATTCAGAAAACAGGAAAAGAAGGTAAGTAGGAAGAGATGAGAAACCGAGAAATGAAGAAAGATAAAAAGGAAAAAACAGAAAATGAAAAAAAAAATCCCCAGGGATCGCACCAGCGTGGCCTTGTGAACAAGAGAAGCAGTTCCCCAGCTGAGTGGCGCTTCACAGCTTATCAAGAAGAAGCAAAGGTGGCACATGGAGTCAGGTGTTCGAGAGAAGGAGAAGGAGGAAGTGAGAGGCAGGGAAGAAACCAAAAGAGGCCAAAAAACAACACCAGCAACAAAGAAATGGCAGTGAAGAAGCCAGCCGGTGTGAGCGGGGTGAATCTGAGAGGCGCAGAACCGGCACTTCCTGTGCTGTGGTTGTGGCCTACTAGGAAGCAGCGGACTGGGCCGCTGGGAAGCCAAGAATTGGTCCGCTGGGAAGCAGAGGATATGCCAGCTGGGAAGCAGTGAAGGTCAAGCAGGGGAAGACAGGGTAGGGGGTGGGAAAGCACATCTCGCTGGTTACTGGGTGCTCTGTCCCCTGCTGGGAGCTCCATGAATCTCCTTTCCCATACTTCCTGTCCGCTGCTATCTGACAGGAGTCCAAGATGGTGGATCCATGCTGCGTTAGCTGATAGGGGGCCTCTGCTCGTAACTCTCCTCACTCTGTTCTCTGTCAGCTTCTTATTCCATTCAGTGCTTGGTTGAGTTCTTTATGTCTTCATATGACGCTTAGGGTTCCAGGATTGACGTTTGTCTCTGTTTTACTTAGTTTTTCAGGTCTTTGCTGTGGAGGGTCGGCATGGTGCTTCTGTCTGTAGTGCCATGTTGGCTCCACCTCCTACTGATTTTTTTTTTTATTTTATTTTAAAGGTAATATATGCCCATGATTTATGAGTTTAATTAGTTCCGTAGTGTAGGAAGTAAATGCTCCTTTTGTTCCCCAGGAGTATTCCCCGTTACCATTGTCCAAAGATGAAAGTTAAGTTTCTAGTATATATTTCTGGAAAATTTTTATATACATACACATATACAGTAAAACCTGGGAAAACCGGAGCTTGTGTAAGGCAGAAACCTGTCAGAGAAGGAAAAACACAAATATTTTCCACTAATAGAGAGCAATAGAGAAGTAGTAAGACAGCACCCTGTTAAAGGCAAAAAACTTGTGAGACTTGGAAAAACAAGGCAGTCACATTGAGTTCCAGCTGTTACAGGTTTCACTATGTAACTGTAGATTTTTAAAAGACAAGCATAAGCCATCGAGACCAACTAATCCTTTTAGACCAGGCCATACCTAGGGCATTCTGATTGTACCAAATTTGTCCATTTCTATATGAGATTGTACGCATCGGGATTAATGTGCTTAACGCCTAAGAATCTGTTTGTCCCAGTAGTTGCATCAAAGAAAAACATGGCATGGTGTCAACATCACACTGTTCTAATCGCGCTAGCTGCAGCTGTGAACAGTAAGGCAATCTGTGAAAATCAGGCAACTCACCTTAAGTTTTTTAATGAAAATTGGCAGCTGAAAGTGCTGTTGGCTGGAGAGTTACAAAAGAGAGGTCCTTCAGAGAGAGCCTGGATAGATACCAGAATGCAGTACACAGCACCAGCGATCGTGACGACGTTCAAAAGTGACGAAAGAAACATCTGCAAAATAGAGTGGAACCATTTGCAGACATTCTTCTGATATGTTCGTGGTCATTTCTAGTTTCTGCAGCTCATGCAGCATTTTTAATCAACCGCCACCACTCCAGTCCCCCTGCAGTCCTAGATCTTGAGATCACAGTTTGATTAGGTGTGAATTAAAGAAGGCAGAGAGCAAAGTGTCTGCTACTTGGTTATACTCACTAAAGGAGTTGGGCTTGCTACTGTCTGGAAAATCTGAACTTTTTATATGTCCGTTTCAGCTGACCCCTGAGATCTGGTTCCTCCTCTATATTCTGTGTACTTCCTGCTTCATAGAACCTTGGCTAGATCTCAGCTACCCATAGTTCGATGTCTGGTCTCTTGACTCCCAAATCTTTCATGAGAGTATGACCTGATACTCTAAGTGGTCAGTCAGCAGTGCCATGTTCGAGGAGTGTGCTGGATCTGGATAGAAGTCCACTTACCAGCTGTGCTACACTAGCAAGTTCTTTGCTTTCTCTGAGTGTTCATTTCTTCGTCAGTAAAACAGGTCATAATATTTCCCACTCAAGAACTTTGAGAGAATTAAGAGCGCATTTGTAAGTGTTGTGCGATGAGTGACACTTAGATGCTCAATAAATGTTAATTTCCTTTGCTTGTAGCAAAGCCATATTTTTATACATGAAAGGTACTGTTCTAAGGTCCCTAGGTGGCGCAAACGGTTGGCCACCTATGCCAACCTAAAGGTTGACAGTTTCAACCCACCCCCACTGCACTGCAGAAGAAAGGCCTGGCAATCTGTCTGTAAATATTGCAGCCAAGAAAACCCTATAGAGCAGTTCTACTCTGGAACACATGGGGTCACCATGAGTCGTAATTGACTTAACGGCAACAAGTTTGGTTGTTTTTTTTGGCAGGGGGAGGGGTATTGTACTAAGTGTTTGAAAAAATAACTGGTCTCTCCTTTAAGTTGACTGGATGAGGACAATTCTCATTCTGACCCTGACATACTGATCTCTCATACACATGAGAGAACTGAGGACACATTTCCCCCTACATGTTTCATACAGTCCACAAAATTTGAGTATTGTGAACTTGACGAGGAGCCCTGGTGGTGCAGTGGTAAAAGCACTCAGATGCTAACTGGAAGGTCGGTGATTTGAACCCACCAGATGCTCCATGGGAGAAAGATGTGACAGTCTGCTTTCGTAAAGATTTCCAGTCTTGGGAACCTTATGGGGCAGTTCTACTCTGTCCTGTAGGTTTGCTGGGAGTCGTAATCAACTCGACAGCAGTAGGTTTGGTTTGGTTTGGTAAACTTGACAGTTCTGAGTGTGACTTATACATCTCCTTGCGTTGAAAGCCTTTGGATTGGTGAAACTGAAGACTGAAGAAGGGACTGAAGGCCATCTCCAAAGCTAAATTTTTATGGAAAAATTTTTTTTAAAAACCTGACTTTCCATATTGTGGTATAATTATCCCACATAGCAGTGCGTTTCTAAGACTGTGGCTCTGCCTCCGGAGCCATACTGTGGTTCTACAGATACTGATGACTCAGGGTGACTTTGCTTAGATATCAGTAACTGCATGCACTTCCACTCCCAGACCAGTTGCTCCGTACTCACTCCAGTTTTGTTGTTGCAGCACGCTCTTTTTCTTGCTGCCAAGGACATTGTTGTTGCTGGAATGACCTGGAAATGACATCAACGGAAAAGATGAGTATAATTGCTTCTCATCAGCTGAAAGAGCAGTCATCTCGGCCTTCTTACCTCCAGTTCCGGGAAATCAAGGGTCAGAGAACAAAAAGGGAAGTTGGCAGTGTTCTTGATCCTATGAACCTTCTCATCTCAATTTCAACCATAAAGATTAAAGGGGGAGGGGGAAGGCATTCGAGATAAACTCTTGCATCTACATTCTAGTTTAGCCTGGGTCATCTTTAGAGAGATTTGGATTTTGTATAGATTAGGGTGAGTTTTTTATTCATTATTTTTGAAAGAATATTTTGAAAGAATTGGTTGCATCATCTATATTCACTTTTTCTTAAAATTACAACAACCTGTAGCCACTAACCCAATTTCCCAAGAATTGTATGAATTTGGCAAGCCTCCAGAAAAGAAACTTAGTCCTTTGCCTAGCAGTTGCGAACTAGTAATTCAACCATAAAGGTTAAAGGGGGAAGGGGAGGCGTTCAGGATAGCAATTTTAAACTCGTCATCCACTTCTAATTTAGCCTGGGTCCTCTTTGGAGAGATGTGGATTTTGTATAGATAAGGGTGAGTTTTTTATTCATTATTTTTGAAGGAATATTTCTGAAAGAATTGCTCGCATCATCCCATAATCACTTTTTTTTTTTTAAAGTTACAACCTGCAACCGCTAACCCAGTTTCCCAAGAATTGTATGAATTTGCAAGCCTCCAGAAAAGAAACTGATGTTGTTTGCCTGGCAGTTGGGAACTAGTAATTCTGTCACCACCCCTGTCTCACTTCCCTTTCTTCTCACTCCCTGGATCACCATTATCTCGCTAGTTCCCCAAGCTTACAATTTGAGAATTAATTTTTGGATCAACATTCTTCTTTCTACTCCTGTATCCATGATATGTAATGATCTTACTTTATACTTATGTTCAGAAATCTCATACCTATTGCATTCTGTGTTAAGGCAAATAGGATGCAGGAAAGCTGTAAGAAATGATTTCCATATTCTCAGGACTTAACGTTTAAATTTTTAGGAATATCTAGTCAGCAGCTATGGCTAGAAGATTCTTCCTGGAAGAAATAAAGAGTGGAATGTAAAAATGTAAATTACTTCCTTCCACTTAAGAAATTGTAGCCGTAAGGTTTTTTGGGTTTTTTGCCATCTCAGCACAGCTGCCCTTGGGTCGTTGTTTTTCCTTCTTCTGTTGTTTTCTAACATTTTATTGATGTCTAACTATATGCCAGGAACTGTTATAAGTTCTTCACATGTTTTAGCTCATTTCAGCCTCATAATAATTCTCTGAGGTGGATGCTGTTATCATCATCCCCATTTTACCAACGAGAAAACTGACGCACAGAAAGTTTGAATAACTTGGCCTAAGAGTGTGGAAGAGTTGGGTTTCGATGCTAGGTCGTTGGGCCCCAGAACCCAGACTCTTAACCACTATCCACGCTGGCTCAGTTCTTATAATTCTCCGCTATTCCTGCATAGAGTGTATTCATTATCACCACCCCCCCGGCCTTGCTCATCGCATTGTCCTACTAAACTCCTTCCCTGGCCCTTTTTTCCAAGCCAAAATCTGCGTTTGTCCTTTCAGATCAGTTTCAAGGTTTACACCTTACAAGGCAGCTTCCCTAACAAACCTGACCCACTCTATTCATATTGTGACTCCATGTCACTTGTGTAGAGCACTTTGTATTTGTTATCAAGCTTTGCTTATGTATTGCCTTGAACACCAACCCCTTATAATTCAGAGATGACATATCTGTATGGCAGCCCAGCCACTCTGGGGCATGACTGAGAACCCAGAAGAAAAGTAAAAAGAATTTTTAGCCCCCAAAGAAATGTCATAGTTCATGCACTCAACCTCTTTTGTTATACCCAAAAGCTCTACTATCTCTTAAGCTTTAGGAGCAAGGAATTTAGAACAGGGATTGACAAACAACGGCGCACAGTCCAAGTCTGGCCTGCCACCTGTTTTTGTAAATAAAATTTTATTGGAACATAACCATGCCCATTAGTTTTCATGTTGTCTATGGTTGCTTTCATGCAACAATAGTAGAGTTGACTAGTTATAAGAGTCTATTTGGCTCTCAAAGCCTCAAATATTCACTGGCAGGCTCTTTATAGAAAGAGTTTGCCAACCCATGACTTACAAAATAAATGAATCTTTTAAAAGAGCAACATTAAATCATAAATCATCTTGTTTTTCTTATTGATGAAAGTTGAGCTTTGCTAAGTTTCTTGAGGATTTTGGAGATGCTAAATATTTACTTCCATGGTTCTCTTCCCTTACAAAGGGGTTTTATAAACTAACAATAATTTATAGTATATGAATCACCACCCAGTTTACTTCATGGCATATTAACTCACCTTTGCTACAGCATTAGGGGTTACTTGATTATTTTGTTTCAACTGTTTTGCCCCATTCAGAGCTTTGGAAATTGGAGGGGCTTTTTATGGGAGGACATTAAAGTGTGAAGTTGTGTGTATGCTTTGACTGAATTGTAACTCTCCTAGGTAATCTGCAAACATGAGTCATTAAGAGAATACTCTTAAGTTTCTAAGCACATTTGAATGCATGAGAGTTTTTGTGAAATTAAAAGTCATGCTTTTTTTTTAAAGAAAAGAAATATTGTTCCTTGGTCTTTATGGAAACTCATACTTTTATCCATAGTTTTGAAAGTAATGTATTAGATTTTACACATGACTATAGAAGAGACTTTGGTGCCCTGGTGGCATAGTGGTTAAGAGCTAAGCTGCTAGTCAAAAGGTCGGCAGTACAAATCCTCCAGCCACTCCTTGGAAACACTATGGGGCAGTTCTCCTCTGTCCTGTAGGGTCACTATGAGTCGGAACTGACTCGACGGCATCTAATAGCAACAACAAGAGAAGAGACCTAGCTCACTAAAACTCAGGGATAGAATTCAGACTTTTGGGAGTCCTCTAAACACTTCACCATGAAAGAAGTACAAACACCGAGAAAAAAAAAAAACTTGCCATCAAGTCGATTTCCGACTCATAGCGACCCTATAGGAGAGAGTAGAACTGAGGGTTTCCAAGAAACGGCTGAGGATTTGAACTGCTGACCTTTTGATTAGCAGCCAAGCTCTTAACCATTGCGCCACCAGGGCTCCAACAAATAACAATTATATTTTGCAAATACCTGTTATACGTAATATCTTCTAATTTGCTTAACTTTGAACAATTTGTTGTCTGTTAAGACTTTAATAATTTTGATGAATTACCATTATATAATAAATAAAATCAATGAGTATGCATGATTTAGATCAGACTTACAAGTAACTTCATATAAAATGAAATGGCCTTTCTACTTATATTTTAGCAAAAATGCTTCACTTTTTTTTTAATACTTGGAAAAATAACACATATTGATTTTTCCATTTAGCAGATAGTAGGTTAAAGATAGTAACATTTTTACTGGTAGTCATGGCTTCAGAAGATGAAAAGGTTCGCCTTTGTTTAGGGTAAGTCATAAAACCATAAAATGAGTGTATTTCCTGAAGTAATCAATAATAAATTCCATAGTTTGTATTGCTGCAAAACCCTTGTGTTTTAAGCAATACTAATTTTAAAATGTTACAGCAATTTTGGAAAGATTTCAAGAACTATGACCAAAGTACTTATTACAGACAGTGATTTCTTCTTACTTATTAGTATTTCTTTGTATTTATGAGTATATTGAGTTCAACCTAGTTGATATTCTGACAGACATTGTAAAGGACACAATTCCCTTTTGAAAAAGATATTCCTCCACATCCTATATATGGCTGAGGACCATGAAAATACCCCTGTGTTTGAGCCCTTCTACCCATTTGTGTGCTCGTGGGCACCCTCTAGAGCTTGACGTTCTGTCTATCAAGTGCGTATTGGACATTCCAGAAGCTGTTTGATGCTCTCCTGCCGTTATATAATGTTGAGTACTGAAGGTAGCCTTGTGTTGATACCTGCTATTAATACTGATTGAGGGTAATAAAGCAGATTTAGCCATGGAACAAGGAAGTTCAGATTCCTCATGAAACCCTGTCACAGGTTTATGAAACTTTCTATGCTTCAGTTTCCTGGTCACTGAGGCTTATTGATTGTATCTCTCGCTGCTGTGAGCTGAAACAGGTGTGCAGGATTATGGCACCATTGCTGGTGGAAAAACAGAACTTTGGAGTCAAGTAAATCCAGAGTTGAGTTTCACACCTTTTTCACACCCACTGTGTGACCTCGTTAACATCCCTAAACCTCCATTTGCTGGTCTGTACAGCACAGGTAATAGTATCTGCTCAGCAAGATGATTATAGAGAGTAGATGAGATAATGTAAAGACCCAGTAGCTGGCCCATAGCAAGTAGTCAGTAAATGGAAGAGTTCTGCCCTCTGTCTGTCTTTCAGATCTCTTCCCCACCTGCCCGGAAGATGAATACGGGGAGTGAAGTTGTGTGCCATCATCATCCCAGGCTCCTTTGATGCCTAATGGGCTGGGTATAGCAAGAATTTTTTTTTTTTCTTTAATCTGATGGGCTTTGTGGCAGAGCCAATTTATATCTAAAGCTACATGGAATTATGCTAAGTGGATTGTTTCAACTTAGGAACTTTTAGGAGCTTCATGGAAATTGCCATCACTAAGTTATATTTAACCAGCTGCTCCTGGCTTCTGGTCTAAGCAGAGGCAGACAAGGCTGTCACTACTCAAGTGGAGAGAAGTCTTCCCCAAGGGGAGAAAATTTCCCCAAGGGATTTGCAGTTGCGTCACACCGTTGAGCAACAAGTTTTCTCTCCACTTAGAAGAGAACTTTCAGGGCAGTTTGAAGAAATAGCCCAACCTTCCCAAAAGCTTTCCCTTTAAGTGACTCTTTCTACCTAAAGCAGAGTGAATAGATAGATTGCTCATGGTCTTAAAGGAAAAGAAACCATCAGTCTTTGGGCAATGGTTTCTAGAATGGCTTTTTGATGCCAGAGGGGTCTCAAGTTCAGTGTACTGGCCAAAGGACAGTTTTTTATCTAAAGTTGAATGTAATGGTCTAAAAGTATGTATATAAGTCTGGAAATAAGACTAGCAGCAGTAACTGGTTACTATAAAGGGTTAGTGATGAAGGTAGAAAACTGTCATGAATTTCTTTGTCACCTCCATGTTTCATCATCTCTAAAACGCTTTGATGATGCCAGTCATTGTAGCTAATACAGGCATCCAAAAAAAAAAAAAAAAGCGATTTCTGTGGCATTAACCAGACCCCCTGAGGTAGCACCAAGTGATGTAACAAACAAAAGCTTCCCATGTTACAACTGTGGAAATAAAACCATAGGATAGATGATTTGCTCTTGGTAATATATTGGAAATAGAACTAGGGCTGAAGTATTCTGCCAGATCCTAAAACATTATTAATTCCACTACACAAGTGGTTTTAAGCCAGGTCTGCTGCATCAGAAGGTCTGGAAATCTAACTATTGCAAGTGCCTCAGGTGATTCATGACCAGGTATATTGAGGAGTTCTGTATTACACTACTCTGCTGCAAACGTCAACAAAGGTGAACCTAGTAATAATCATCAGGCTATTCAACAAGCACCACGGTGTTCTGAGTCAAAGATCTGAGCCAAAGAGTCCCGCAGATCAGAAAGCCAGGGTTTCAAGTCCCAAATCTCTTAGAGAAATCCCCTTTGGGCGCAGGCCCATGCCACATTCATGCCTCACAATTATCATCATCCAGGATGTTCATCATGTATGGAAATGTTTCTTCCCACTCCTATTGGTCAACTTCCCACTCCTAATGCATTCCTTGGAAGCATTTAGAGACCGCTACTGGGCATCGGGAAGTTAAAGAGCAGCCCAACATGTGGAGAAAAGTGATAGATAATAATCCAGCTGATTTTTACTAATTATTTTTTGCCCAAGCTCCCTAGTCTATATTATGTAGTTTAAATTACCATTCTTCACTAATGACCAATATAAATTAATACCATACCACTGCTCCTCAGTGTATCTTAAGCCAAGACATAGCTAACTGCAAGGCTGAAAGGTGGTTTTTAGGAGTTTGGTAAAATAGGCAGACCCTTCTGCAAATCAATCCAAATAAATAAATATGACTCACCATCAGACCTGCTCCTATAATTCCTGGGAACCACCACTCAAAGCAAGAGATAGGGTTTTGAAAGAGTTGATCTGTATCGACAATGCTGACAACCAGAGGTATTGCATTGATAACTACCCCTAACAGAAGCAGAACCAGCAGGCTGAATCCATTGCAAGACGTCCATCCTTCACAGCAGGTCATGGTCGCCCCTGATTCAGTGAGAAACCCTGTCCAAGTGGCTGTGTGTGTGAGGCACTGTCTTGCCTTTTATCCTGAACCTTCTGGTTAAAGTTTAGCCTTTATGAAAAGTGAGTTATGGAAAATAGTTCAGAGTCCAACAGGACAGGATGTTATTATAAGGACTGTTATGGGAACTAAGGATGATTTTATATGATAAGGGGAGGAGAAAAATGGGAAAAAATCCACAGTGCTTTTAGATAATTTTACATGTGAAAATAGGCACATGAAAACTAAAAAGAAGGGGAGACGGACTTACAGAGAAAGATACACTCCTTATATTTTAATAGGACATCTAATGAAAAGAATAAAAATATCCACTTAATATGGATTCAACCTCAACATAAAGCAAACAAAAGTCCTCACAACTGGACCAATAAGCAACATCATGATAAATGGAGAAAAGATTGAAGTTGTCAAGGATTTCATTTTACTTGGATTCACAAT